GGGTGTGCTTTTTAATGAGATGAGGAATGAGGGGGATGATTTAGTGAAGAGCTGCGCAGGATGAAATGTGTTCTCTAATTTTCCTAAAGAATTGCAGCAATTCGCTCAAGACACGGTGGATACAAACATTCATTTGGGAGAATTCACTGTGAAAACCTCAATGAAGCTCTGTGGTGAACAATTAACATGAAAACTCCTTCGTTCATTTCACTAAATTCCTATCCTAATTAAATTACGGCTCCAGTGTCGTCATTCATTACTAAATACTGACTGCGTATCCGCTTTCACTACTGGCTATGTACACATTAATGAATTGTGCAGCAATGTAAAATCAAACATAACAACTTGTCCAATTAAAACCATACAGTGAGTTTGTGTATATTCGGTATAATTATGCCATGCCATAAAAACGGCAGTCTAAACATATTTATTTTACATCATGTTATGAATTAATTTTGATCACAACTTCGAAATTGAATCCCATTCACGGGTGAAAAACCCTTGTTGATTTTTCGACAATAGAAAACTCGTTGAGAGACATTACACGTCAGGGCCATGCTGGTCAAATCATGAGTAAATAAATCAATAGTGGAAAAATTGCTCTCATCTCTTTACTGCCAGTTCACTTCCGGCAGTGGCGCTCGTAAACTCGGCGGAATGATGTTGCTAATTGAATGAGAAGGAAGGACAGAGGTTTGGGAGTTTTCATTGATATTTCGCCGAGAGAAGCACAATAAAGCGAGAAAGTGGGATGATAATCAAAGAGGTAAATATGACTAAATGATTTAATTAAAATGGGATTCCTCGGTGATCAAAGTGAGAAGCAATAACATAAAGCTGCAGGCACTCTGCTGGAAATGTTGACTTTCGTCCACGGAGCGGCGATACTTTCTACATCCAATAACGCCTTTCGCTATGCATAGTCACAGGAGAGCTTGAAGTATTGAGGTGCTGTGTTGAAAAATAATTAAATTACCCAGAGTAAAATATTACGAGTCCATTTTATGAGCAGGAAGCAAAATTAGAATTTTGATGTCAGGCTATATTTGGTGGAGAGAATTTGGAGAGTAAACAAGGGCGAAATACATGGCAATTACCGCTCAGTTACAATGTCACGCCATTGGGAAAAGGATCTATTATTATTACATTTGCATTCGTGCAGAATATGTACATATTTAGTTGTTGTGTTCGTGATCTATAACATCTGCAATCAGCACTCTCACACAGGTGTGATAAAGGAAGGAATGGAAGGTGATGGTAATAAAATAATGTGACAAGTGAACGTTCACTGTGGGCCTGTAATTTATTTGATGAAAAAAAACCCGAATTCATAAATTAATCCATTCTCTGTCGCAACTACAAATTGCAGGCAAATTTCATACAATGACCTCAGTGGAAATCAATTATCACATTCATAAATATTTAACATATCTGCACAGCAGGTTTGCTAAACAATATTATTTTGCGCCATCCGCCCGTGTCGCATACGCGAGCACATAGATTATTTCATCCGTATTGATTTTATTTCTGGCGATCGGCTTATGAATTCGTTAGCTCGCCACCATGTGATGTGACCCGACCTCTGGGGCATCGCCAGAGCATCTCTTGGCAAAAAGTCACGCTCTTGGTCACGCTGGAGGTGCGATGGCATCTAATAGTGGATTTATTATTCTGGTCATTGATGGGAGAGAGAAAATTAAGCGCAGACGACAAATTTATTAAATCAATGGAACGTCATGGTATTATGTAAACGACATTACTGAGCGGCGTCATCGGTTTCACGGGCACTTTATGAGATTTTCCATCGCACAACTTCAACTTGTCATTTTCTGGGTGGGTGGGTTCGTACATAATATATTTTTGGGTATACGTCTGCCTCGCACTACTCTCAATTTTATATTAAATTGTATCGATTTTCACCGTGGAATGGGCGCCCCATCCGAATGCCGCGACAGCGAAACAGTGCAAAAGGGGTTCCATGACTCCATTTGCAGATATTTTATGTATGTATATATAGAAAAACACACCATATCTGAATGGTCTCACGGCAGAGAAAAGGTACAGAGAGATTTCGACAAATCATCTCAATCACACTCGAGCATCTTGGTGGGAAATCCAAAGCAATCGAGCCTCGGGGGAATTCGCAATTCCACTCAAAGATTTTATTTATTTGCTCGTGCCAATATTGAAAACGAACAGTCTTTTGAAGATCATCACAGGGGTGAATTAATTAAGATGGTACCCAACTCTCTGCGGTGTGGATATTGGACCCACAATCCAGATGAAAAGCGACAGTACAGCGCTTTAATTTGCATGAATTGTGGAATACCTCAAACATCACGATATGACCCGCAATTCTCTTTTACCTTACACTCATCCTCATCTTTTGCTTTCATCCCATATACACATTGCAATTTATCTAGCATCCGCTGGCTTCAAAGAAAATCTATTTTCAAATTTATAAATCGAATTTGAGATGCCGCTCTTTGAAGAGCCACGAGTGAATTTAATGCCATGTTAAGCTTTAAGGACAATCCAGGGAATTTTGGGTGCCATTTTACGATCTATAAAGCGATAATTGCATAATAAATAATTAATAAGTATAAGTAATGAAATACATGATTTGAAGATATTAAAGATATTGCATATCAATGAGGGATGTGGTAAGAAGATTTATATGCGTAGGGAAATAGGGAAAAGTGTAGCGTATAATTTAACAGAAATAACACTCATCACGAAATGCTTGAGGCCTTTCACCCTTTCGCCACACTCAAAAAGTTGTTATCGCTGATGTAGTACATTAATTTCAATGGGATTGTATTCGGAGAGTGTGCAGAAGGACTGTCCCAAGACAACTCAATGATATGGCCATTAAAATTATTACACAAGTTTTTCATGGTGCGCCAGCATCCGGGCGAACCTATGGCAATATTTGAGGGGCAAGGGTGGTTTTCTTGCGAGTAATTGAAATTTCTCACTTTTGAAGTTTTCAATTAAACTTTTCCCCAGGAGAGGAGAACAGTGTACAACATCATAACTCCCTTTCGAGAGATGCTATGCGGTGAAATGTTTTCAAATGAAGCTGAAATGTGTAACATTTTCTCGCTGCGGAAGTTGCGCTGCGAAGAAATATAACTTTCTCTCCCCGCGTGAGCTCTTCTCTTCGCCACTATAAATCCCAAGTTAATTGTTGTGAGTGCATGATTTGCAAAAATAACCACTCTATCCGCAATCCGTGGAGGAGGTGGGCTGAGAAAAGCCTGGGTGAGAAAGTAGTTGGATCAACAAGTTGCTTTCACTGCAGCTATTTCACTTGAATATTTTCGAAACATTCTAAAAGCCATAATTCAGCATTTTTCCTTCGCCCCAAAATCCTTGACTGCAAAACCACACGAAAAGTTGGAAATTGTTGATCTTGCCATATGCGGCAATGTGTGTTTTTCAGCAAGAAAACCATGTACAAAAGAATTTCACAATTCCTCTGCCACGTTGCGAATATCGCGCTATTCCGCAGAGTTGCACTCTCGAAGTTTGAACAATGCGTTGTGTGCGGATGAGTTTTTGTGCTCCTTTGTGAGGACGGCAAATATTAGGCGGAAGTCAATGTCATACAATCGACAGCATCATATCATTAAAATTGTACAAGTTTAATTTGCAGCCAAGAGCCGAGCGAAATGGTTAAATTTTAAATTTCGTTTCAAGTAACATTTCCACACACACACACACATACCTTTTTGGGTTTGCAGGAATTTATTATTATTATTTTCCCTCTCGACTGAGGGTCAATGTTTCAGCGAATGGTATCCACATTTTCGGGGGTTGCTCCTCTACATACATTTATATATTGGTGTATAAGAATGGGTCTGAGAGTCCCATGATATTTATACACACGATCTTATTCCCTGCAGACTGCTATGTATGTGGATATGTTAACCAGAAGGCTTTGCATAAAACAGTGAAATGTACCAGCTTATGACAAGCCATGTCAATTTCCAAATGTTTTTCCAGATAAACTGATAATCTCTTTACGATATCTTCTCCAGTCAGTCTTCTGCGGCGTAAGTATTTCACAATGTGCCTCTCCGCCTAGTGTAATGTACATTAACATCGATTATAGCAACCCTCTCGAGAGAGCTGTGCTTGGCGAACATTTCTGACTGTAAATGTAGTACATGAAGAAAAGTCATTTTCATGAGATGATGATATTTTGACGATGATAGAAATTCCAAGGTTCTCGGCATTTCTCTTTGTTTCACATTCAATTTTCTTGTGCTGACTTTCGGGTGAGCCACAATACACTTGCTCGTGAGTGGAGCTCTGGTGAAGTCCCAGACCGCACTATATGGCGAATGTGCGGCTCATAGAACGCATTTTCAATTAAAAGTAAATATATAAATATTAACTTTCCGGCGAGCAGCCGTGAATATGAGTAAATCGCCCTCTCTCGGGTACATTTCCAAAGCACATCTCCATTCGCTGGGACTTCAGCTGTGGCTGGGAAAGAAGGTGTGGGTGAGAAATATGTGCCTTTCGCCCCTTCGCCATGAGAAGCACAGGTGAAAATATTTCTCCACAATTCACTGGAAACTCCCATGTATTTAAATACTTTATTGAAATTTTTCACAGTAGAAAAATCTCGTCGCAGGACGAAAAGGAGAACTGGGAAATTTCCACCCAGGTAAGACGTGAACCCACCTGCAAAACGCCCCGCAAAGCAATCTCAAATAGGCAGTGGTGGGAAAACATGGCCGAAGAGTTGCCTCTTTATCACACGACATATCACCGGAAAATCTTCATGACACATTTTTCGCATTTTCACACTCTTTCCCTGGGCAATTGTGCTAAACTCCTTTCGCCATGGAAGAAAAACAGCCACAAGAGAGAGAGATTGGTTGGTGGGAATTATGTGAAATACTCCCCAGAGATGGTGACAGGATTTATCGGATGGAGGAGGCAAAGAAAGGTGATTTTTCTAGACCGCGATATGATCTCGCATTTACCTTGATATCCACCACATTTATTGACTCGTCGTTACGCAAAATTGTATAATTCACCCGTCACATTTACACAATTCTGCATTAGTAGGATTTTCCATAATTTCCTTCTCAGTATCGCACAATTACCACTTCCTGATGATTTTCCTGTTAAACACACTTTCCGCAGGATTCTCCACAAAGCGCAACCAGAAACCACTAGAAATGATTTTCAAACAGCAATTACCACTAATCCTTTTGTGATTTATCTCTCACACTCCCTCGCTCTCTCTCAAGAACCCCGTTTTTGTGCACACTTTACAACTGAATTTAAATGCACGCAACAGAATTACTCACAAACAGAACTGAAACGTCTTTACATTCTCATTTTATGAGCTCAACAATTTAACGGGCAAAAGCACACCGTGGACATAAGAATTCAACAAAACTCATCCACATTGTGAAAATGAGGTGATTTTTTAAAATATTCAATTGATTGTGACGATTGGGGGAAATATCCAGTAGTCACTGTGTCGTCATTGAGTTGTTGAAAATATTCCCCATCGAATGTAGTCCTCAGCACCTTTTCTCACTTAACAATAAAACTTTATATACGTTCAACGAAAAATGTAAGATGTTTGCTTTACGGAATTCTTGATGAGACTGATCGCACGGTTAGGTGCCAGCCGTGATGTTGAGACGAGGAGCTTCTCAACATTTTTATTGAGCTTTCAGCAAACTTACACCTATTCACGCTGCGGACTGAAATGCCCGCAATTGGGGCGTCTCTTCAACTCGCAGGTGAAATGTTTGCCATCAAAAGGGCGCAGTTTGGTCAAAATGAAGGGAAATTGCGAAATTGTCAAGCAAATGGTCTTGGATTCTAGTCACTTTCCAGAATTGCGTGTTGGGGAACAGTTTGAGGGCCAGTGTGGGTCGCGCATGCGGCGTTTCGCATCCATGTAGAACGCCCGCGCCTAATTTTTTATTATGATTTTCCTGATTTTTTCACTGTTGCATATGGGAGTTGTGTGTGGAGGCAGGGAGAACATACGTAGACGCGGTGGTTTGAGATGAAAAACCACCTTTTCTTCGTTCCTTTTTTTTCCTCCCCATCTACAATGGAAATTAGTCTCACACCTCACCCACACTTGCGATTGTGGAGTCTGCATGGTGTATTTGTAGCCGAATTCAGGTTCGGGGCGCTTTTCAATTGGAATCCTTTTTCCCTTTCGCCCTCGTCTCATTTGAAATTCAGAATCCATCCGGAACACCCATCCTTTGACGCGCTTTCAGGCCGCCGCCCCCAAGGGTGGAACAATGTGTCCCCAGCAGTGATTTATAGGTCAGTCGGTTCGGCCAGGATGATTTGATTTTAATGCATTTACTCACGCTTCACCACCAAATCGGCCTATCACCTTTACGCTCCAATGAAATCAATATTAGTGGCAAAAAGGTGTGCACTTATCTCAACACTTGAGGCTGGGATGTCCATATTGCTCTGGCCAACCTTGCGTGGTCTCGTGTGGCATGTGGCATTCAGGACGAATGGATGGCACATAATCTGCAATGAGGTCACACTCGGTAGCACAATAGAATAACTTGATAAAATATTCACACAAATTAATGGACGGTATGACGAGGAGGTTTTTCCTAGCCTCCGGACTTGTTTTTTGCCGCAATTGATTGCCATATAGCCTGTGAGAGCATTTCACACAACAATATCAATAAGACCCGAGCTCAAGAAATTACTTCTTCGTCACACCATAACCACCCACAAACCATTTTTTATTCCACCCACCCACGACAAGAAAGTTCACTCCTCGGGACGCGATGGCCGGGGGAGGCCGAATTATTTTTTAAGAAGGGACTGTATTACTGTACTGGGACTTTGTCTTCCACTTCAACTTTCGTCATGGCTTTCAATTGAGTAAGAGCCTTTTGGCTCTTAAAGCTCGCACAATTTCGCTCTGCGTTGTCACGTAAAAAAACGAAGCTCCGAGCCAAACAAATTGCAACAGAAATAGTGTCACGAACTTCTTTCTTACGTGAAACAGATAAATTCCACCCCATTAACTAACTTTGGTCACTTGAAAGTGCGTCTGGCGCAGAAATACCCACTTCACTTGAGAACTGCACTAAAGCCGCTCTCAACGGAGCTCTGGCAAAGCATGAAAAAGAGCGTGAAATGAGAGCTACACTCGCCGACAAAAAGGATTTGGGAGAAAATCGATGCGATGCAATAAGACTGTGAGATTAAAGTTTTAAACAATCCCAAACGACACACAAAATGGGTAGTTTTCTCTTTATCTGTGAAAATATTTGCCAATTTCAGAAGCACCAACGCGAAGATATTGAACTTTTGCACGAAACGAGAAAAAATTTAGCGAAGCCAGGAGATTATGAAAAGTTAAAATATAGCCATTATAATATTTTTGGCCCGTGTCACGAATATTTATGGCTTAATTTGAGCTTAAGACAAATGTGGCTCTTGTATCGATATTTTATAAAAGTAAGAAGTCTGTAAGTTATTTCATAAGATGTTTCGGATTCACACTTCTACATCACATTCCATTTAAGTTTATCCAATTACTCTTCAATTTTATCATGTCAGAAAATATGTTCACTTCAACTGCAGATGATTTTATAGATTTTCGTGAAAAGTACTTACTTTGAACAATTCTGAAGGTTTGCACGAGTCACGTGTTGTTTCAATCGATAGTTTCAGCTGAATTCTTTGATGTCAATGACGATTGGAATGAACTTTTGGCCTGGTTTTTTCATTATAGTTCTTAGAAATTTTTACGCTCTTCTTAAGAGCGATTTAAGAGTCTCAAGAGCAATACACATTGTTCCGCGAACGAGTGAATTACTCAGGGAAAGGAAAAGTGAATCAGATGCGAAGGAAAATGTGTACAATTTCCCCGTGGCAAAATTTTCCCGTGAAGTGATATCTTTTCTCATTTGGCAAATTTCGAGGGAAGCGGATAGAGATATTTATGATATTTCTTGACGCTCCTCGACATGTGGAAGAATCACACACATTTTTCCCACTCCCAGCAAAAAGATCGGAAAATATGCGCTGAATGTAAACAAAACATTAATTTAATAATCGCTTTCAGTGTCTACGGGAGTTATTATTAGTTGAATGAGAGGCGCAGAGGAGATTCTGGCCAGGAGGATTCAGTAGCGATACTTTGTGGAGTAGTCTTTGGGCGACACGACCAGACCACGTCCTTTCCGGGCGCCTCGATAAACAGTTTCTATGATGTCGATCATCTCCTGTTTGTCTTCCAGTGGCCAGTTGATCTTATTGTTGTTTCCTGTGCCTAAATCTATCATTATGTGCTTATTGCGGAAGAAGAACATTACCGTGCAGGGATCATACAGCTCGTACCTGTAAATACATCGGATTTTTAGGGGATTTCTTGGGAAAGAATTACAAGAAAATTTTACATTTTGTTGAAATCCGGGACTTCGGTGATGTCTACGAGGTAAATCACAGCGAAATTCTTCACTTTCTCAGCAATACTGTACAGCACTTCATCCATTTTCATGCAGGCCGGATCCCAATCGTGTCCAAACCGGATGACCTGGAAATGGGCAGGTTTTTAAGGAATCCCAGTTGTTTTGATTTCTTTGTATTTACAATTATCCTGTCTTCTTCGCTTAGGATGGCTTGATCCACTTGCCATCCGTTGTGGAGATGCGGCAGCATGTACGACATCCTGAATTGCTAATTATTCTAACAGTCTGTGCAAAGAAAAGTCCTGTTTTTCAAAGAATTCACCGGATTTTCAGGAAATCGTGTGAGAAACGTAAACAAAATATGACGTTTACTTGCATGCAAGGGAATGTGATTGGCTTTCTTTCCACAATTGAGAGGTTTTCAGAGGCAGAGTTTCCAGCACCTGTTCGCAGAGGCGCCACTGTCGTTCATTTAAACAAATCTTGACTTGTCGTCGACGTGGTGGAAAAGTTCCTGCATTTTCTTGGTGAAAAACTTGGGAAAAACCCATTCTGAGTGGTTTATTTGTCCTCCTCGTTGTGCAGGAAGACTCGACAATGGTAATATTCAATTGTCAAAGCTCATAATGGTAGTCTTTGCGGCTGACGCAATTTTTAGGTTATGCCTGATGAGAGAAAAATCCCGGATATTCTGTTTTTCTTCCAGGCTGCTGTTGAACGGAAAGGGACATTCAAGGTGGAATACCTGCAGAAGATTGAGAAGGATGTTCAAGCCAAGTGGGCGGCGGAGAAGGTGAGTAATGACCGAGGGAAGTGAAATGGTTTCTCATCTCGGAACTCTTTCCAGCTTCACGAATCTAATGCTCCTGAAACTCCGCGAAAGTCGCTGGATGAGAAGTTCTTTGTCACCTTCCCATTCCCCTACATGAATGGGCGGCTTCATCTGGGACACACGTTTTCCCTGTCCAAGGCGGAGTTTGTCATCCGGTACTATCGTCTGAAGGGAAGGAATGTTCTGTTCCCATTTGGGCTTCACTGTACAGGAATGCCTATTAAGGCGTGCGCTGATAAGCTGAAGCGTGAGATTAAGGAGTTTGGCTGCCCACCGAAGTTTCCCGAGGCCGTGGAAGAGCAAGAGAGTGTCCAGGAGCGAGATGTGGTGCCGAAAGACAAGAGCAAGGGGAAGAAGAGCAAGGCAGTGGCTAAAACGGGCTCCGCCAAGTATCAGTGGCAGATCATGCAGAGCCTGGGCCTTGAGGATGATGAGATCTCGAAGTTTGCTGAGTCCGAGCACTGGCTTGACTACTTCCCGCCGTACGCCATACAGGATCTGACACGACTGGGTGTGCACGTGGATTGGCGGAGAACGTTCATCACCACGGATGCCAATCCCTTCTTCGACTCTTTCGTGAGGTGGCAGTACAACCACTTGAAGGCACGCGGGAAGGTGATGTATGGCAAGAGGCACACAATCTTCTCCCCGAAGGACGGACAGCCGTGCATGGATCATGACAGATCGTCAGGAGAGGGCGTGGGGCCACAGGAGTACACTCTGCTGAAGTTGAAAGTGGAGCAGAGCATGCCAAAACTGCCCGGACACGAGGGTAAGATCTTCTTAGTGGCGGCAACACTTCGTCCGGAGACATTGTATGGGCAGACAAACTGCTGGCTTCATCCGGACATCAAATACATCGCTTTCCGTACGACCAGGGACGATGAAGTGTGGATTTGTACTCGCCGCGCGGCTAGAAATATGTCTTTCCAAGGATTTACGCCGTCAGAGGGAAAAGTTGAGGAGTTGGCTGAATTCACAGGCCAGGAACTGTTTGGAATAGCTCTCAGTGCTCCGCTTGCGGTGCACAAGATCATATATACGCTGCCAATGCTCTGTGTGAAGGAAGACAAGGGCACAGGAGTGGTGACTTCTGTGCCATCAGATTCGCCGGACGATTATGCTTCGTTGCTGGATTTGCAGAAGAAGCCTCCGTTCAGGGAGAAGTACGGCATCCGAGACGAAATGGTGCTTCCTTTTGCGCCAATTCCCATCATCGATGTCCCAACTCTGGGCAAACTGAGCGCCGTCACGGCGTGTGAGAATTTGAAGGTGGCCAGCCAGAATGATCGCGAAAAACTCATCGAAGCCAAGGAACTGGTCTATCTTAAAGGATTCTATGACGGCGTGCTTCTCGTGGGTGAATATGCCGGGAAGAAGATTCAAGACGTGAAGAAGAACATCAGAGATCAGCTGCTGAAAGCCAAGCAGGCGGATGTGTACTATGAGCCCGAGAAGACGATAATGTCCAGATCTGGAGATGTGTGCGTTGTCGCCTTGTGTGACCAATGGTGAGTGATTTTCTTGATTTCACCTTAAATTTCCATTAGTCACTTCACTTTTTATTAGCACGAAAGTGTTTGCAAATGTTGCATCACTCAATGCGTTTTATTAGTGTGATTGCTTTGAATCAGAAATTCGCTTCTAATGTATTCTCCAGCGAGTCACTCTGCTTATAGTGGAAGCAATAATGTTAAAATGGCTTCAATGAAGTGTACATAATTATTCCAAGTGGGTATACATTTATTTATTTAGGTATAGAGCAACATTTTGAACATAAGGGACGCTATAGAGTGTAAAAATATAATTATTATGACTTCCTCGGGGGAGTGAAGTTGTAAAAAAAAAACACATAAAAAAGTTAAGAAGTTAGGGTTCTTTCGCCTCACCGTCTTCGGCATTGTCTTGGGGACTGTCTGTGAGGTCAGGGGTTTGGGATTGGGGGGCTTCGGAGGAGGATCTGCTGGAGAATCTCTGGTGCATTTCGTCCAGTTGATCACTGAGTTCCTCTCCGCGATTCTTGTTGGCTGCCATTCGATCCATGAGCTCTTTGCATTGCGCCTCGAGGCGCTGGATTCTCTCACTCCTGCGGGCGGTGTATTCCTCCTCAGTGGCAGTGAGGAGGCCTCTTGAGGGGCTTTCACTGCCTTGGCATACCGATGCTTTGCATTCCTCCACAAGACTCTCAGTGGGTTGCGGCTGTGGCTCGTTAGCATTCTCCTCGACAGTTCGATTATCGCTAAATCGGGTGTGAACGCGGTCGAGTTGATTGCAAAGTTGAGAGCCACGGTTCCGGTTCTCATTCATTCTCGCCACAAATGTCTTGCACTCTTCCTCGAGACGTTGGAGTCGTGCAGCACGCCTGAGTGTGTATTCCTCCTCATTTGCTGTGAGAACTGTGGCATTGCTTGTAGATGCAATTGAATTTGTTGGTTCTTCTTCTGGGGTGGCATTTGCAGTGTCTGCGGATGACGCTTCACTGTCTTGGGTGATTTCCTGGGGATTTCCCTGTGCACTTATCCGATTGAACATCTCCTCTAGTGTTTCAGTGTGGGGTGATTTTCTCATGTCTTTCTCGGGGATTGTGAGAGATTTACCGCATGCACCCATTGTCTCGTCTTCTGAGTAAACTTCTTGTCCACTCTTGATGTCTTCCTCCTCCTCCTCCTCTTCTTCCTCGGACAGTGGGTCATCGCTGTAGCCACTCTCAGCTGAGGCACTGCCGTCCTTTCTGTTAGCAAATTCACGCCTCAGTGACTCCCATTGCACTTCAGAGTCCTCGTTCTTCTCCCTCGCTTTGGCCCACTTTTGTCGGCAGTATTCGAGCTCCTCTTTCAGCTCGAGCAATAGACGTCTCTTCTGCTGCAGCTGATACCGAAGAACCTGCTCCTGAGTGTGCAGCTGACGATGCTGACGCTGCAGGCGATTCACCAGATGCCAGGTCTTTGTGAGCTCGATGCTCACGGCGCTCAGTCTCTTCTCCTGTGACTGGAGAGTGCGCTCGAGGTGACAGTTGAGGGTTTTCAGACGAGTTGTTTCCTTAGTCAGAGACTTCTTCTCCAAGATGAGGTTCTTGAGCTTTATGTACGTCTTGCTGACACTGAGCACAAGCTGAGGTCCTGACGGGGTCTGCACGGATTTGTAGCAATCCTCATTCTGTCCGTCTTCCTAAAATAGAGACACGCAATGAATGATGGTTTTTGCGCTGTGGTCGTCTTTTTAGGCTATTACGCGGTTCGCCAATTGAGGAAGGTGGTGTATTTTAGGAAATTGCTCTTTGTTAATGATGACAGATTACAACGCAATCACTGTGATTTGCAACAATTTCACATGTCTTCTGCGTATAGATTATAATAATAAAGTTGAGAATTTTGCTGAGTACTAAAAATAAGGGCTGTAAATTATGATTGTCGTCAATAGCAGCTGCTCAAGAGCCACATTTCTCTCTAATTTGAGAATGGGGAAGTTTCTTAAAATATAATTAGTGGGGGGAGAGAAAGAGTTTGTGAATTACCTGCAGAGGTACAGGATTAATTTTCTTCTGATGACTCAATAATTCTGTGAGAATTCTCCATACTTTTGGCAAATTTCCAATAATTTCCTCCGTGCTGGAAAATGTGGGAGTTGATGAATTTTCACCACAAGCATTCTCCACATCATTGTCCTTCTCTGATGCCTGTGTTACGAGATCACAGAGGACTTTGGGCAGGAAATTGCTGGCAATTAGTGATTCCTCATTGTTTGTAATGTCACTGAGTAAGAGGCGATGGTCTTCCAGGATTTCCGTCAATTTATCAATATCCAGGTTGTCATTTCCTGAATTGAAGCCCATTAGCATTCGGCCGAACAGTTGATTGATGGCACCATATTCTGTCTGTAAATTCTCAGTTTCACACTTTGAGTCTGCCAATTGATTTTGTGTGACGGAGAGGTCATTTTCGAGATGGTGAATGAGGTTCTCATGTTCGTGATTTCTGCAAATAGGGAAAAAGAAAAGCGCATGTTGGTAGGGGGGAAAAGGAGTTTCTGTGGCACTAAATTACTTGTCAACTTCTTCTTTCAGTTGATTTTCACTGGCAATTAGGCGCTCCTTTAGTGACTCAATCTCCAAGTTCGATAGTCTCGCTCGCTGTTCGTACAGCGTCCTCAAGTTCTTCATGTTGTCCAACTGACGAATGTACTCATTCCGCAAATTCTCGGACATTATCAGTGTTTCTCGGTCAGCCAGTGTCTCTTCAATCTCTCTCAGCTTCTCTTTCAGCTATAATTAAGTTGTGATGCGTTTGTCAATTGAAAAATTTGAACAGGGAAAGGAAATTCATTCGTATATATGAATTGACTAATTAATTTAAATGCAACTCACTTGATTCACTTCAGTTTCCCGAATTTCCATCAGTTGTTTACTTATTGTATTCACCTCCTTCAGTGAGACCACCTGTCGTTTGACTGCACTCAACTCTGATGTCAATGAGAGAACGTTTGCATTTGCTAATTGCAATTCATGTTGGGTCTCTGCCAAGTTGGACTTGATGCTCGTGACGTGATCATCATCATCATCCTGTTGATGGTCACTGTCGTCTGGAGATGCCACAATGGTGGATGATGTGGCAGCAATATCAGCTGATTTGGCATCAAAATCATCCTCAAAATCCACCTTAATACCAGCCGTTTCGATAATTTCACGCAATTTTACATTCTCTTTTTCCAAATGTGTGAGTTTTTGGCGAAAATTGGCAATAACTGTTTGACGTTGTTCACGTTTTTCACGTAAATTCTGTCTAAATTCCTCCATTTTGCACTCACGAGCACTTTTTTCGCGATTCTCCTCACATGAATCACCCATAATTGTTCTTCATAGCACTTGAACAGTCTTTAGTGATTGAAAAGTAATCTGGTTGGTTGTGCACGGCAAAATCTTCCTTAAGGCGTGTTTTCTCGATGAAAATTCACCACATTCTGAGAAGATTGAAATGAGAATAATCGCCTTTGGATGTGGAAATTCTGTATTGTGAAACTCGAGGGAGTTAAATTTAGATACATTCAACGTCGGTTGCGATGACTGGTCGATGGTCTATGGGCATACATATTGGCGTTATACAGCGTCGCGCCACACTTTCCCCGTTTCCGATGCGCAAAAGCATCACGCTCACCTCACTTACAGATCCTACTTAGGCTTTAGGACCCATGATTTTAGTACAAATGGGCGGGGTGTTAGAATGGGTGGAGCTTTCGATGAGATTTTCTACCCTGCAATTGGATATTACGATTGGTCTGTATAAAGTCACACAAAGTGTGAGCATCTTACTAAATGGTGGGCACTGTAAAGTGTTCACGCATGTGAGGAGGAATCCTTTGTGATTTAAAGAGTGTGTGGCTGATGATGAGTTCAAAGAGGAGAAATAGACTATTAATGCTGAGCGAACTGTGAGGAGAAAAAGAACATATTTCACGAACAATTTATTTTTACACTATTCACACGCGCATCTGCAATGTGATGTGTCGTGGAAAAGGCTGCCGTGTTTCCTCTTTTCATTTTCACTGGTGTGAATCCCATCACGGAGTCTGGAAAGTAATTTGCCGGAGAATGCGAGCACAACTTTCACTCTTTCTTCTTTGCTGTGAAAGAGCGCGCGTCTTCCCTGAAGAGTCATATGATGTTCTATTAATAAATATTCTATGTGGTTTGTGTATATAGAAATTTTGGCTGTTTTGCAGCTTAAGTTGCAACAGGAATGATGATGATATTGCAAAGGGGGGTAAAATGGAGAATATGCATATAAATGGTTGATGAGTCAGGAAGATTGTGATCCTTATGTTGTGACGCGCAGTGGCATTTTCTTCATCGCGAAAATGTATGTAATTTTCTGCTTTTCAATCACATGGAAGATTGATTGTCGGAAGGTGGGGAGGAGAAGAAGAGGGGGAGTTCCTGGGAGGTGATGCCCTGTCGAGTGAAAGCATGCAGGAGGTTGGAAGAGCAGACCTCCTGCACATACTGTCTTGTATCTTACTATTTTCCATTAACTCGTGTTGCTGGGGTTTTTCGAAACAAAGAGGGAAGTTGTTGACTTTTCTGCTTCTTTGTCACTACATCGCGTATAATCTCCGGTTAAATATAATACATGTGTACTTTTCCTACGTCTTTTCTGTGGATTTTTTTTCTGTGTCTCTCATCTAGAAGTCGTGCACTGGTGGTATGCCTAATTTTAGAATAAATATCAGCACTTTTATTCCGTAACACATTCGTTGTGATAGAAGAAAAGTAAAAATGTACATATATTTCTCGTTTGGTGTTGGGAAGAGAGAAATAAATGTTTTTATTTGCATACCTCTTTCTTATTCAGGAGACATGAAATGAAAGTTTCTCAGGATTTTATTTGTAGAGTTGAATAATGAAATTGTAATGTTTATCATTTTGTGAATCATAGAAGCAATTTTGTACAGCACGAAATATTGTTGAGAAGTGGCGTCGAAATGAGAGTTTCATAGACTTGTGTTATTCTGTCTGCATTGTGAATCACATGTTAATTTTATTTGCGAAATATTGCGATGTATTTGTTAACAGGTATCTCAACTATGGTGAGGATACATGGCGTAATATCACAACGCAGCACATGGAGAAGATGGAAATGTTTCATGAGGAGGCTCGACGCAATTTTGAGGCATGTTTCGACTGGCTTCACGAGTACGCTTGCTCTCGAACGTATGGATTGGGCACGAAGCTTCCCTGGGATGAGCAGTGGCTGATTGAATCTCTGTCAGATTCAACGATCTACATGGCGTTCTACACGGTGGTTCATCTCCTGCAGGGCGGCTCCTTCCGGGGTGAGAAACCGAGTCCACTTGGGATCAAGGCTGAGCAAATGACGGAGGCCGTGTGGGATTATTTGTTCTTCGGCGGAGCCAAAGTGCCCACAGAGTCTGGAATCAAGAAAGAGCATCTGGAGCTGATGCGGCGTGAATTTCTCTATTGGTACCCAATGGATTTGCGCGTGTCCGGAAAGGATCTCATTCAGAATCACTTGACATTCATGCTGTACAATCACTCGGCCATGTGGCCTCAGGAGCCAAATCTCTGGCCACTTGGCATCCGCGTTAACGGACATTTGCTTCTCAACTCCAGCAAGATGTCCAAGTCTGAGGGGAATTTCCTCACTCTGACTGATGCCATTGAGAAGTTCAGTGCCGATGGAACTCGCCTGTGTCTCGCTGACTCGGGAGATAGTGTTGAAGATGCGAATTTCGTGGAAACAACCGCCGATGCGGGAATTCTGCGGCTGTTCACGTTCATTGAATGGGTGAAAGAGATGCTGGCATCAAAGCCGCTGCTTCGCAAGGGTGCCACAACATCATTCAATGATAGTGTCTTCATTAGTGAGATGAACCTGAAGACGAGCGAAACCGATGTGAATTACCGGAAGATGCTCTTCAAGGATGCCCTCAGAACGGGCTTCTTTGAGTTCCAATCGGCACGCGACAAATACCGTGAGCTGTGTGGTTCAAATGGCATGCATGTGGATTTAGTGTTTGACTTTATTCAGCGTCAGGCACTCCTCATTGCGCCAATTTGTCCCCACGTTGCTGAGCATGTGTGGCAATTGCTTGAACAGCCGGGCAGCATCTTCAGGGCATCCTGGCCACTCGTGGGTGATGTGAATGAGCATCAGATTAAGTGCTCAGTGTATCTGATGGAAGTGGCGCACTCCTTCCGTTTGGCGCTCAAGAATACCGCCCAGGTGAAGGCAAAGGGGGCGAAAGACAAGGCAACAGCGATCGAGAAGCCAACCGATGGAACGGTGTGGGTGGCGAAATCCTATCCGCCGTGGCAATCGTGTGTCCTCAACGTGATGCGTGGATTATTCGAGGTGAGTGTTTGCCTCTTTATTTACAATTTTACAAATACTCTCGGCTTTTTTGCGCGAAGCCAATGACTTCCGTAGAAGTGAGGAGTGTCTGAGAATACTTGGCGTTTGAGGAAGATGAATTCATAGAAGAATATTTTGGGAATCATTAGGAAAAGTTGCTATTCATGCACACAATTCAGTGACAAGTAGACCGGGAAAAAGTGTGACAGTGTAAATTGGATTCAGAATCAGCCGCAGGGAATTAAAATGCCTCTTTTTTTTGTTAATTCTGATGAAATATTCATGATTTTTAATATAAATTCTCGATTGAATTTCCAGTTCATCAATCAAATCATATAAAATATTTTGATTTGATATGATTTAAAAGAATAAATGGGAAATTCTGTATTTGCACATTTTGTATTGTGTTAGTCGCTATAGTATTTGATTGTAGGATAGATATTGGCGTGTGATATTGGAAAAAAAAATTGCATTTGTAGTTGAGAAAATGATACCAATTTGTAGCCTAATCATCCTGAAATTTTCTCTCTATCTTGCAGAAGCTCAATAAATTGCCTGATAATAAAACAATTTCGGTGGAATTGGGAAAACAGGAGATTCTGAAGAAGTATATGAAGAAAGTTATGCCATTCGCTCAGATGATACGTGAGAGAGTTGAGGCGCCTGGAGGTCCCCATCGGGCTGCCTTATCGATTACGCTGGACTTCAGTGAGAAGGAAGTTCTCGAGAGCAACTTGGAGTATTTGAAAAACACTCTTGATGTAAGTTGTTGTTCTGTATGTGTGTGTGTGCGTGTGTGTGTGCGTGTGTGTGTGCGTGTTTTCTTTGGAATGAGATGAAAAAGTTGCTGAGCAAATAATTTATTTAACACAGCTCGACACTCTTGTGGTGAAATTCACGGATGACAAGGACGCGCCGGAAAAGACGAGGGATGAAGTGCGTCCGGGAGCACCGTTTATAACATTCGCCACAAAGCCGTGTGTTGTGGTGAAGCTGGAGAATCCGATTCCTGCAACTGGACTCTTTACAGTTCACGTGTCTATGGCTGATGGGGACAATGTGAAGAGTCTGTACGCCAAAGTGGCGAAAATTATCGGACTGAAAGGTAGAGAAATGAACAAAATCATGCACAACTGTTTTACTTATCGATTTTTATGTATAATTTTCTCAGATGTGAAAGCACTGAAGATCTGGCGATACAACGATCCTGTTCTGGGACCTCGACAACTGCCCAAGTTCAATGATTACAAGGCCGGAAAATGTCTCATTCAGGATGGTGTTTTGAGTATTAATCAGGAGAAGAAAGAAGTGCTTGTGGACTCGACGAATATTGGATCAACCTTGATTTACGTGGTTGAGTAAGTGTCTTTCTCTATCTCTCTTATTATCTTCTCACCAGTGAATTCGTGAATAAAGATAATTTAATTCAATGACGATGACTTATTTCCGATCACTCTTGTACAATAGAGTTCGTGATATAAAGTGTACTACTTAAAATTCTCCTGATCAACAAATTGAGAGTCAGTTTGGCGATATTGTGAAGCTAGAGGAAAATAGGGAAATTTTGCCGTGTCAAAATTCTCACCCCTTAAACTTTCTTTGCCTGTGAAGTCGACGAGTCTGGTATCCAAATGATGGCACTCAGTGTTGCATGGGTGGTTTATAGAAAAGATTTACACCGGCAATTTCCTCGTAATTAATCAAAATCGAAATTCAATTAAGCCAAGGCGAAGAAACAACGTCGTCCTCAGTGGAGCGAGCAAACGAGAGATGTTAGTGCTGAGGCGGTGCAATGGCGTATTCCAAAATACTTAATGATGTTCCACCCTCGATAAGAGGGGGTAGGTATATATGGCGCTATAGGACTGTTCATACTTGTACTTTAGCCATCCAGCTGCCGCCGCCAGAGTAATTAGTCAATAATCAACGAAGCGCGAAAACAAAGTGGGTGGAAATCTGCTGGAATTTTTCTTCACACTTCCCACAAAACCTCAAAAGCCACTTCGTGATGGCAAAAAATTCGACGAAATCATTAGAGGACTATTAGTGAGACTGACAGTGCGTACAGAGTGTGGATTTATGTTTTTCTCTAGAAATCATTACAGTTCAGCTGGAAAATCCGATCAAAGTGAGACGATGCTCTATAAACGGAATTCTCTACTCGGGAACTGAGAGAAAATGTACAGGTGAAGCTTAAGTCATGCGATTTGTGTGCATCAATTCAATTAGTTCAAATGACTTTGTGGTGAAATATTGAGTGGGATCAGGTGACATTTGCAGAACAACAATTAATTTGAGCATTCAGAGTCTGTTCATGACTTGAGGTCAGTCTCAAATTGAATATGCAGCTCTTGTGATTCATTTGGCGTCCAGGCTTTAGTATCAGATGAACATTTTTCAAAGAGTTGAGCGAATAATAGCGTCGCATCCTGCAATCGATGAAAGAAAGACTTTGCGTTCAACATTTTGCGTGCGCACAAAATTGGTAAAATGTATTTTGATAAGAACATCATACTGTATAAGTGATGAGGTTGAGGGGGTGGGATTTCGTGTGTTACACGCGTTGTTGTGTGCTCGACAAGTGAAAACAAATACACATCTTTTACTTAATTGAATCCTGCAAAACACTCACTGTTTGGATTCTCGCGCAGAACAAATCATGCACACGAACGAAGGCTTCTTGCAACCAGATTACGCGTGATTACAATGGAGAGATTTCTTATATTTCTCCGTACATTGGAGCACAGCAGAATTATAGTGTGAAATTCTCCGAGCACGTATTTAATGCCACTTCGAATTCTCATTAAATTTCATGACTTAATTTAAGGGGTATAAAAAAGTGTGCATATTTAGTGAGAACTTTTCCACTTGTTTATGAATAACGAGGAAAAAATCATCCCTCTCTGCCAATCTGAGCGTTTTCTTCCCTCTCTCACGCCACGCTGTATAATTGGGATTTGCGGTGGCACTGCAGGGAGTAATGATGGTGGTAAAATGGGAACACTCACAGTGCACTGCTCCCGAGTTGAGGCACGAAGAAAGCCATTCAATAAATCCACCCCCGGCGGCAACTGCACACCAATTGCTAGCTGTATAAAGTTTCGTATAAAAAATGCAACTTGTTTGCCAGCAGAAGACAGAAAAATAGTCGCAACTTTGCCATGTTCAAAGAAAAATTCATTTTAATTTCTATCTCATTAGCATTCTTAATAAATAAATTTCATTTACTGCTTTTCATGAGCAAAAATTATACAAATAGAGAGGAAGAGAACATTGAATATGGATATTATTTTCATTTAGTTTCAAAAGTCTTATCCAGAGGATATGTCTGAAAAATCTATAAAGTGTGTGATCATCATAGTATGTTACCCAGAGTATATAGCATGTGAAATATATGTTTATGTATTCAAGCGACCTCGGTAAGAAGCGTATGCAAAATAAATTCATTTCCTTCACAATCTCTTTGCCTGACAGACTTCAAAGATATTCGCAAAATTATACATAAAAAATGAACCCTTAGTTATTAGTCAAAACACTCAAGAGATAGAGAGAGAAAGAGACATGATATTTGACGTGAACTTTATGCCAAAATCAATCATTCACTCCAGTGAACTTAATCAAATGACCAAAATCGAAACGCCACACATGCTAATGCATATTCATAGAGTGTATTCTCATGCAAGTAACACCACTGAGGAGTAATCTAATACCTGTGCAATTTAGCTGTACAGCAGAAGCCACTCAAACTTCTTAGACAATAAATCATATTTAATTCTCAAAGTGATATTTGAGCAAATTGATCCCATTAAAAATTGCTCAGTGATGATTTGAGATTGTTATTCGCTATATTGATGGATGATAGCAATTTATCATCACAGTGCAAAAGTGCAAATTTGTGCAATTCACGCTTAATATCTAAACGAATTGAATATCCCAGCAGAATGGCAATTTGCGAGCACAAACTTACACAGTTGAGCGTTTGCTTTTACCACAAAGCAGCGTTTGTGCAGGTATTCGGAAAGCTGAGTGAGAGGAGAATCGTCAGTAATACTTAAAAAAGGGGTCAGTAAATGCCTGCAAGTGAAGTTTTGGTTTCAAAAAACTTCACACTTACTTTTCCCTGAAAATTGTTACTAGAATTCATTAAGTGCAATATGAGCAATATGAAATTGCTTGTCCGCCTTCCTCTCGATTAACGTGCAATTTCCAGTCCTTGAGGCACTTTCCCACCCACTCGACAGTGCTCTCTTCATAGAACTTCCTGACAGGAGTGAAGATGATTTGTGGCAGTCACGAAGGTGAAGTAATTGTGACGTGTGAGAGGATAATTTCGTAATTTTCGCCTTTCTGACACGATGATTGTGTGCACTCGAGGGAAGTTTCGATTTTCCAGAGGCCCCAAAATCATAATTTGCACCATGATTCAATTTACCCTCAAATTCCACATCTCAATCCGGGGGAGAAATTCAACTCGATGTGTGCAAGTGCTCAATTGTGAATGTGAGAGCATCCATTGCACGTGAGGGTGGGATTTACCTATTTGACTCCCCGGTATAATTCCGTCACATGTTTCATTGGCCCCGTGGCAATTAATCATAATTTTAGCATACAAATGAACTGATTAAGCGACCGTATGACATAATTTACGAGATAATGTATAATCAATTATTGGGCTTTTTATGCTGTTCCGGAACGGAAACTGTGCATTTAATTCGATAAATCACCGAAATAAGCTCGGAATGCAGCAGCAATAAATGCAATATTTTTCCACGGAACTCTGAAATTTATTATCTCTCAGTCTTTTTTCATTCCATTTTCCTCAAATGAAAATATTTAGCGCTGCATTCATTAAATGGTTTGCTGTATAAATTAAATCGCGTTTTTTTTGTTGAGAGTTTTGTGCTGATTATTATAAAAATACTTTTTGACTCTGACAAAGAGAGCTGTTTTTGCCCTCCGATAATGGACTTTTTATTTGCAGTGAAATGATAAATTTATACAGTGACTTTTAGCATGTGAGAAAAGTCTGGATTTCCATGTAATGTGCATAAATCATTGTCACTCAATAAAAGTCATGATGAAGTCGTGGGTTCAATTAATGCTTTCCTGATTCTGGTGAGAGAAAAATCTCTGTCCGACCAAAGGCAAATTATTTCTATCCATTTAGGCATTCACGAATCCACAATTTCGAAATTATCCGACTTTGCTGAATTGGGGAATAATTCATTTTAATAATCAACATGGGCAATGGGAAAATTAGCAGAGTCGAGGGGAGATTTTCAACAGCTCGTTGGTTTGCTAGTTAATAATTAATTGGCTCGCCTCCCTTCGCGCCCACGCATCGCTCCCGTGGGGGGCATCGTCCTGAAATATCCCGATTAGCGCTGATGTTCCAGCTTGGATTGAGAATTGGGATGTAATTGGAATAATTGAAAAGACACAAAATGCTTTCTCTGACTGAACGAACTACCTCTCATGGCGCAATCGTCGCTGAGCTTTTCTTCCATTTGTAACGCACTAATTGAACTTCAATACAAGTTGCAAGACATGAGCGCAAATCTACTCGAGCTTGAGTGCTTGCCATTTTCATTATGCGCTACAAAGTTGCAAACAAGGAAGTGTAATTGGAATAATTAAATTTAATTTGTGATTTTTTCCTTTAATACCTCACATTACTGACTCCTTGCGAGCGGGAATCTTGCGTGCCATTTAACTTGCATCGACATCCCTTTTATTACACTCTCACATTATCCTGGCAACACATTTCAGGAATTTTACGCAGTTCTCGTTGAAAAATATGTGGGAAGAAAGCTCGTCTCATTAAGCATTGTTTTTTATGGAAGAAAATTTTCCAAGAGATAATTAACATTTCGCTTCATTTGCGAGAGATGAAAATTTCCCTCTTAACACAACGGATGATGATAATTGAATAAGGTTGCTTCCTTAAATTATGCTTTGCGTACTCACGAAATATTCTAAAAATAGGAACATGGAGCTCCAAAATATCATTATACCAGGTAAATTAGATTAATAAATATTTCTTTAGTAATATACTTTTCAAACTTGTAGTTTGCATAGTGAATATCTTTGTGAATACTTGCGAGGGAAGGGTTGAGAACACAACTTCACTGAATTATCTATCATTGAACAGCTTCTATTAAGTGATTTAGATCCACAAACACGGGAAATTAAAGTGAGATTCTCTATTAATTACAGCACATCTGTCTCTTAACTATACAGTAATCTGAAATCCATTTGAATTACTGTGAAATTTCCTTTTCAGCTCTAGATATGAAGCGTCAATGCATATATCAGGATTAAAAGTCCTTGCTTGGCTGGATAAACAAAGAAAGTTGCTCCATTCTTTTGAACGACGCAACCACTGACTTCATCCATATTTCATCTCAATTGCAAGCTTCCGCTGAAACTTTCACTTTAAATCCCTCGAAAGTTGATCCAACTGAGATTATTGATTAGAGATATTCTTTGGAAATGCAAATGATATGCTGCAGAGCGAGTGAAGACGACATGATATATGGACCATATCTATGAACTTTGCAGCGCGTATTAGATAAAGAACAAAATATATTTCATATCCACAGAAAAGTTCCTCCTCCATAAATCTCATATAATACCTAATACTATTCACTATGTATTTCTCACCTCCTTGAACGTGTGATGAAAGTGTAAGGAGTGTGTTGGAATTTTGATGTGCGCCATGCTCCTTGGCTGTACCGTGTAAAATTTGTATTTTTGCGGTGCGGAAAGAATGGTTTTAGAACGTGAGTGAGAATTTTTTGGCGCTCTTTGCCTGTCCTACAGCTTCTGGCGCGCCTCGTCGGCTCACAGCGCCAGTGTTATACGCTGGCGCGGTTTTCCTAGTGGCCACTTCGTCGCTGGTGTGGCGTTATCAAAACGTCAGTCGTACTGTGAATAGCGAACAGAACGGTGCCGTCACGAGACAAAAGGCGACGCAGTGAGATTTTTAATGTAGAAACACCTTTTCTTATGATAATACTTAGTGAGAATGTGTCGTAAAGTGTACTATCTGCACAACTATAAATTTGGATTACTCTACTTCCTACAATTAATTGTTTTGGCCAGTGCAGAACTCTTAATTAATGTACAAAATCAGGTACTTGACAATTTCATTGTAGTCGCTGTCAAAATTTTTGAGGATACTTGTGGGGTTTCCCTAATATATAGTTGACCGGCTGCTCTCCCGTGGGGTGGGATTGTTGGACATGAAGGGTTGCAAATTTGGAGAGTGAGTCGCTTGATCGAGGAGACTTTGCAATTAGATTGCTGGTGAAAGTCTGCAATTAAAGTTTGGTTATGTTGTGTGAGTGTTGTACGACTTTACTTTCGCCCGGGAAGTGCACATTATAATTGAATCGGCACAACTTCAGTTTACCGAACACTCTCAAAACGCACTTTTTTTTTTTGCTTGAAAGCTGATGACGTCACGAACATTTTACCGTTATAAAATCGAGTCGGACTCTAACGGTTCTCCCGCTAAAAATCGGTAAAGTTTGTAACCGAATACAAAAAAATTGTATTTTTAGCGGAGCCGAAGGCCCCGCCTCCCGCCCCATACCCCCACTACATACCTTACCCCAACCCCCACCACCCCTCCCAAAACCAACCCCTCCCCCCCACCCCTTCCGTATAAATTAACTAATTTTCAAAAATCATATTCAAAGTGTCTTGCGGGCCGAAGGCCCCGCCCCCATCCCCCACCCATACCCCCACTGCATACCTTACCTCAACCCCCACCACCCCTCCCAAAACCAACCCCTCCCACCCACCCCTTCCGTATATATTAACAAATTTTCAAAAATCAAATTCAGAGTGTCTTGCGGGGTCGAAGGCCTCGGCCCCCCACCCTCCCCACCACCCACCCTAGACAGCCCCTTCCACCCTCCCCACCACCCGTTATGCTGACAGAGTGTTTTGCGGGGCCGAAGGCCCCGCAAAACACTTTGTCAAGCTTATTTTCAAGCAAATAAGCTTGAAAATAGTGGCAAAGGGAAAAAACTCGCGATTTTTCCCCGTTTTAGCGTCTTCCTCCACTTTTCACCAAAATAAGCTTGAAAACAGTGGCAAAGGGAAAAAACTCGCGATTTTTCCCCGTTTTAGCGTCTTCCCATCCACTTTTCACCAAAATAAGCTTGAAAACAGTGGCAAAGGGAAAAAACTCGCGATTTTTCCCCGTTTTAGCGTCTTCCCATCCACTTTTCACCAAAATAAGCTTGAAAACAGTGGCAAAGGGAAAAAACTCGCGATTTTTCCCCGTTTTAGCGTCTTCCCATCCACTTTTCACCAAAATAAGCTTGAAAACAGTGGCAAAGGGAAAAAACTCGCGATTTTTCCCCGTTTTAGCGTCTTCCCATCCACTTTTCACCAAAATAAGCTTGAAAACAGTGGCAAAGGGAAAAAACTCGCAATTTTTCCCCGTTTTAGGGTCTTCCCATCCACTTTTCACCAAAATAAGCTTGAAAACAGTGGCAAAGGGAAAAAACTCGCGATTTTTCCCCGTTTTAGCGTCTTCCCATCCACTTTTCACCAAAATAAGCTTGAAAACAGTGGCAAAGGGAAAAAACTCGCGATTTTTCCCCGTTTTAGCGTCTTCCCATCCACTTTTCACCAAAATAAGCTTGAAAACAGTGGCAAAGGGAAAAAACTCGCGATTTTTCCCCGTTTTAGCGTCTTCCCATCCACTTTTCACCAAAATAAGCTTGAAAACAGTGGCAAAGGGAAAAAACTCGCGATTTTTCCCCGTTTTAGCGTCTTCCCATCCACTTTTCACCAAAATAAGCTTGAAAACAGTGGCAAAGGGAAAAACTCGCGATTTTTCCCCGTTTTAGCGTCTCCCATCCACTTTTCACCAAAATAAGCTTGAAAACAGTGGCAAAGGAAAAACTCGCGATTTTTCCCCGTTTTAGCGTCTTCCCATCCACTTTTCACCAAAATAAGCTTGAACAGTGGCAGGGAAAAAAACTCGCGATTTTTTCCCCCGTTTTAGCGTCTTCCATCCACTTTTCACCAAATAAGCTTGAAAACAGTGGCAAGGGAAAAAACTCGCGTATTTTTCCCTTTTAGCGTCTTCCCATCCACTTTTCACCAAAATAAGCTTGAAAACAGTGGCAAAGGGAAAAAACTCGCGTATTTTTCCCCGTTTTAGCGTCTTCCCATCCACTTTTCACCAAAATAAGCTTGAAAACAGTGGCAAAGGGAAAAAACTCGCGTATTTTTCCCCGTTTTAGCGTCTTCCCATCCACTTTTCACCAAAATAAGCTTGAAAACAGTGGAAAGGGAAAAACTCGCGATTTTTCCCGTTTTAGCGTCTTCCCATCCCTTTTCACCAAAATAAGCTTGAAAACAGTGGCAAAGGGAAAAAACTCGCGATTTTTCCCCGTTTTAGCGTCTTCCTCCACTTTTCACCAAAATAAGCTTGAAAACAGTGGCAAAGGAAAAAACTCGCGATTTTTTCCCGTTTTAGCGTCTTCCCATCCACTTTCACCAAAATAGCTTGAACAGTGGCAAAGGGAAAAAACTCGCGATTTTTCCCCGTTTTAGCGTCTTCCCATCCACTTTTCACCAAAATAGCTTGAAACGTGGCAAAGGGAAAAACTCGCGATTTTTCCCCGTTTTAGCGTCTTCCCATCCACTTTTCACCAAAATAAGCTTGAAAACAGTGGCAAAGGGAAAAAACTCGCGTATTTTTCCCCGTTTTAGCGTCTTCCCATCCACTTTTCACCAAAATAAGCTTGAAAACAGTGGCAAAGGGAAAAAACTCGCGATTTTTCCCCGTTTTAGCGTCTTCCCATCCACTTTTCACCAAAATAAGCTTGAAAACAGTGGCAAGGGAAAAAACTCGCGATTTTTCCCTTTTAGCTCTTCCCATCCACTTTTCACCAAAATAAGCTTGAAAACAGTGGCAAAGGGAAAAAACTCGCGAATTTTTCCCCGTTTTAGCGTCTTCCCATCCACTTTTCACAAAATAAGCTTGAAACAGTGGCAAAGGGAAAAAACTCGCGATTTTTCCCCGTTTTAGCGTCTTCCCATCCACTTTTCACAAAAGCTGAAAACATGGCAAAGGGAAAACTCGCGATTTTTCCCCGTTTTAGCGTCTTCCCATCCACTTTTCACCAAAATAAGCTTGAAAAAGTGCAAAGGGAAAAAACTCGCGTATTTTTCCCGTTTTAGCGTCTTCCCATCCACTTTTCACCAAAATAAGCTTGAAAACAGTGGCAAAGGGAAAAAACTCGCGAATTTTTCCCGTTTTAGCGTCTTCCCATCCACTTTTCACCAAAATAAGCTTGAAAACAGTGGCAAAGGGAAAAAACTCGCGATTTTTCCCCGTTTTAGCGTCTTCCCATCCACTTTTCACCAAAATAAGCTTGAAAACAGTGGCAAAGGGAAAAAACTCGCGATTTTTCCCCGTTTTAGCGTCTTCCCATCCACTTTTCACCAAAATAAGCTTGAAAACAGTGGCAAAGGGAAAAAACTCGCGATTTTTCCCCGTTTTAGCGTCTTCCCATCCACTTTTCACCAAAATAAGCTTGAAAACAGTGGCAAAGGGAAAAAACTCGCGAATTTTTCCCGTTTTAGCGTCTTCCCATCCACTTTTCACCAAAATAAGCTTGAAAACAGTGGCAAAGGGAAAAAACTCGCGATTTTTCCCCGTTTTAGCGTCTTCCCATCCACTTTTCACCAAAATAAGCTTGAAAACAGTGGCAAAGGGAAAAAACTGCGTATTTTTCCCCGTTTTAGCGTCTTCCCATCCACTTTTCACCAAAATAAGCTTGAAAACAGTGGCAAAGGGAAAAAACTCGCGTATTTTTCCCCGTTTTAGCGTCTTGCGGGGCCTTCGGCCCCGCAAGACCCTCTATCAGCAGAATGGATGGTTGAGGTGGGAGGGTTGGGTGGTGGGAGGGGTAGGGGGTTGGGGTAGGGTGGGGGTGGGGGATGGGGGCGGGCCTTCGGCCCCGCAAGACACTCAGTCAGCATAACGGGTGGTAGGATGGGTGGGGGGTGGGTAGGGTGGGTGGTGGGGAGGGCGGGGGGTGGGTAGGGTGGGTGGTGAGGAGGGTGAGGAGGGTGGGGAGGGTGGGGGGGGGGGCCTTCGGCCCGCAAGACACTCTGAATTTGATTTTTGAAAATTTGTTAATATATACGGAAGGGGTGGGGGGAGGGGTGTTTTTAGAGGGGTGGTGGGGGTTGGGGTAAGGTATGTTTGGGGTAATGGGCGGAGGCGGGGCCTTCGGCCCCGCTAAAAATACAATTTTTTTGTATTCGGTTACAAACTTTACCGATTTTTAGCGGGAGAACCGTTAGAGTCCGACTCGATTTTATAACGGGAAAATGTTTGTGACATCAACACCTTTCAAACAAAAAAAAGATGGGGGTGATCCGAGAGTGTTCGGTAAACTGAAGATATGCCATTGAATCCAGTCCGGGTCACTTAATTTTAATGATACTATCTCGTATCACTATCAATGCTCTATTATCGTGGCTTGGCCAAATTGGCAAATTGAAAAGCATCGCATGCAAATTTTTCACTGTTTGCCAGTCGCTGGCGAATGTATTTAAATGCAAACTGCAGTGCAAACTGTTCGGCAGTATGGCAAAATAATAAATTTATTTGCCTCAATTTGTGCAGTTTGAGTGTTTTGCTAATAAACCAATTTAAATTAATTATAGTTAATTACCACGGGACCCCAAATGTGATACTCCGCTATGCCTGAAATGCTGGCTGAGCACCAGAGTCGCGGTGCGGGGGTGGGTTTTAGTGAATATAAGACCTAAATCAGAATTAAATTCGTTCCTCCTCCGGTTTCAGCTTGAATTATTCAATGTGGAAATCCTTTTTGGCAAATGCTCTGCAATTTGTATCCACTGTAGGTGATATTATTAACAAGTTGTTTGTTGGTTTACAGAATGTGTGACTCTCAAACCACCCCCCCAAATGTTTTGTGACTGTGGTGAGGAGTTTTTTTCTTCACGGCCACTCTAGCTATTAAGCATTAAAGTTGAAGGTGTGGAGAGGTTGGGCAGAGTGTGCTTACATCCTCACCATGTGCTTTATTTAGACAAGGGAACGGTAAAAAAAAAATGAGACAACACCTTGTT